TTTCTCCTCAACCTCCATCAGATGAATCTTGTGCTGGTTTTGATCATCAGATTAAAAAGTCACTTCAGGTAGTATTTCCTTATAGTCCCATCCTCTGGAAAATTTTCTACTGCCCAACTGAAAGTAACAGTCTAAGAGAGAAACAACCACAATAGGGTACTGTGGGTTGGAGAAGGCTGTCCTGGGAAAGGTGGCCACTCAGTGCCCACAGGTGCTGCTCCCGAAGGAGAGATAGCACGAAGGAAGCTGAAGTCTCAAGTTGTTGAGAATTCATGTCATGATGTATATAGTTAGTCATATGTATATTACATATCATTATTCAATGGATGTACTCATTGAATGTATTCAATATATGAATAGGTGTATAAGTATCAGTATCTGTGAATTATGATAGTCAATAAATGTAACTCATAGTGTTAGACTTCAAAATACCAAGAGTTTTAAAGTCGAAACAGTTGGGCAAATGGAAAGATAAATGGAAAAGAATAGCCATTTCTTCTTCTATGCCTCTGTGAGAACTCTAGTAGTCATAGCTGGCTAGTCTGGCCTATTCAACCTGGTGCCTAAAGGTGGTCTGCTGTTTCACCATGGCCACAAACGAAGTCTCCACAGAGTGGGTAGCAGGTCCTCTAATGCAAGGTGAACCCACATTGGAGTGGCTAGCCAGATCTAGCAAGGACTGGGTCCATGGAATGTTCTGGAAAGCTCAGTTCCCCAAGAAGTCCTACACTGTAAAGCAGAATTTGTCAGGTCTTACTCAATGAGACTTGTGCATTTCTTGAACCGTCATATCTGTAACAACAGTGTCCAATGCAGTTGAGAGAACGGGGGTGTGAGAAACACTTATGCATTCTAGGGGTCAGAGTGCTGGGTTCTAGTTGCTTTCTGAAGCTCTTGTATTTTGGACTCCAGGGAAGTCAGGGTTTGATCAGGGCCTTACAGCTTTTCACAGGACTGGATTAGACTCTGGTATTTTGAGGTCTGGGGAGTCCAAAGGGGCTTTGCTGGAGGGTTTTGCTGTGTTCTCAGAGCTCCGAGGCAGGTTAAAGAGGGAAAGAAAAGTCCAACTGAGCTCTGGCAGCTGGGTTTGCAGCACACTGCCTGGTGGGGAGATTTAGGTCAGTGTTATGACTTCCCTGAACCTTAGTTCCATGTCCATGCTGTGCTTACACACTGGGCAGGCTGTCCACATTCCTTGCGCCTCCAGAACATTCTAGTTTGTGTTCTGTTCCTGTCATAAACACCATGATCAAAAGCAACTTGGAGAGGAAAGGGTTTATTTCATCTTACAGGTTACAGCCTGTCATCAAGGGAAGCCAGGGCAGTTAGTTACTCAAGGCAGGAGCTTGAAGCAGAAACCCAGGGAGGAACACTGTTTACTGGCTTGCACCCAGACTCACATTCAGCTAACTTTTAAAAAATTTTTATTTTGGGGGAATTTCATACATGAGTATTGTCTTTGCATTATTTCTATCCCCCCTGCCAGGCTCCCACTAACTACTTCCATGTCCCCCAACTTCCTCTCAGTTTCTTGTCCTCTTCTTTGATTATTATTGCTACATATGCATACCTACATTTATAAATATAGTCTGCTGGGCTGATGGAGGAAATTCTTCAGTCGAGGTTCCCTCTTCCCAAGTGTGCCAAGTTGACATCCAAGGTTAGCCATCACACAGGCCTTTGCCACTTAGCACCTTATATGCACACAAGGCAGGACAAGGCAGTGAAATATGTTGGGGGTGGGAGGACTGAGGCTTGAATGTAAGGACCCTTCTTTATATCCCTTCATCATCCCGCCTGCATTAGAGAGCTCATGAGGGCTGGCCGAGGGACCAGGAGGGTTTTCTGCTGACCCTGACACATCCCACTAGAACTCAGCCTATAAACCTATGGCCACCCTGCAAGCCTAGAGGAAGATCACGCTATGCCTTTCTGAGATAGCTTCTGTCTAAACTCTCTCAGTCACACTTTGTAGATGACTTAAGACAGCTAGGATATGCTGAACATTTCCTGTGTGTCAGGCACTGTTTTAAGTGCTTTGTGTTAATGAGCCAGTTAGCCCTGTATTCCTACCTAGGAAACACAGCTCAGGGGATTTTTGGTGACTTGTCAGATATTACACAGGGAATATGGAACCATGGTCTTCGCCCTCCCTGCTCCTACCCCTGTGGATCTCAGTTTACCAGAGCAGTGTACTCATTCATACCCCACCCAGTGTAGGCTGGGACCTTGGGATGGCCAGTCTAGAGAGTCTCAGCTCCAGTGCTCACTGCTGCCTCCCACCTTCAGAATCCCCAGCTCCTTCTGCACCTCAGGACTCCCAGCAGCTCTCTTTAGGCTGCCTTCAGAATCCCCAGCTCCTTCTGCACCTCAGGACTCCCAGCAGCTCTCTTTAGGCTGCCCTAGTGGCTGACAGAACCCTGGCTCTGGTTTTTCCTGAAGACCCTCCAGAGGTTCATCCTTTCCCCAAGCTTTCTCCACAGTACCAGCTTTAGTTGGGTTCTGGGACAGGTCCCCAGGTCCCACCAGACACCATCCCGCCCCATTCTTTTGGCATCAGACCTCCTCTGACTCCACCCCACTGACAAGGGCTTGGGGGTGCCAAGCTGCAGGGTCATCTGAGTCTTACTTGATCTGCTAGGCTGCAGAGTTCTGGGAGACTCTCTGCTAATTCCCCTGACTCTGGTGGAGCCAGGGCAGGGCTCACTGGCTGTAATGATGCCATCACGAGGTTTTTTTAAACATTGGAAAAATAAAAGTAAAACTACTGGAAGCACTTCAGACTAGAGCCAGGCACCAGCTTTTGGTTTTCTGGCCACTGTGGAACCAGGTGCCTCATTAGACTTGGGCTAGGAACACAGAGCTTCTGAGCCCTGCCTGCCTTACTCTGCCTGTCAGCAACTGATCCTGTGACAGCACTCTGGCCTGGTCACAGGAGCTGTTCTGTCATAGGGGTGTTTGCTGCTGCCTTCCAGTGCTTGATATGCCTGTATTTTCATCACCTCTCTGCCCTTCTTTGTAGACCCTACTTCTTCCAGCTGGCCTGGCCTATTTTACTATCTGGTCATTTCCTTGTCAATCTCCATGCTATTTTGTCCCTTCACCTCTCACAGTTTTCATCTGATAAAACTTTAACGTGAGGTTCTTCCTCATGGTCCTTCTCCATCCCCATCCTCCCTCTCTGGGATGCAGGGACCCCTCTGATTTCCCACCCTTTGACACCTCATTCTGTTTCCTATCTCCTCTTTCCCTTCCCCTCAGTCACACCCTGGCTGTGGCTTCTGGAGCTACTGGAGCTACTGGTGTAGCCCCAACGTCTCTCTAAGCACTGCCTGCAGGCCGTCCCCTCGTGGACACTTCTTGGAGCTCCTCAGCCTTAGTGTATGTTTAACTACACTCCTGACTTGCCCTCATATCTGTTTCTGCTTCATGGTTCTGTATTTCAGCCACTGACACCAATCACCCAGATGCCCAAGCCACAGAGTAAGGTTTTTTGTTTTGTTTTGTTTTGTTTTTCTTCAGGAAAGAGTCAGATAGCAAGTATTTCTGGCTTTGAGGGCCATATGGTCTTTGTCACAACTACTCTACTCTTGGAGTGTGAAACAGAAACAATGCATAAACAAAAGTGTGGCTGGGTGCCAATAAAACTTTATGAAAGCAGACAGCAGCCACATTTGGCCCAGAGGCCAGTATGCTGACTCTCAATCTCTACCTATTACTGATTGTGTATTTCTGTTTCTGCTTCCACTAAAATTCTTTCAGTTCCCTGAACCGGAGGAGCTTTTCTTGTGCCTCTGCCTTGGTTATGTGGCCCTCTCAGGAAGGCCTTTGTTACACTGACTTCAAGACTTTCCCCATCTCTGCTTCTGGGAAGGCCTCTGGGTGTCCCCTGCCATATTTGGTGTGTTCACCCCTTCCTCTTTCCTTACATAGCCTTCTGCTTCCTGCTCTGGTAACATCCATGGTCTCCATCCTCAGCAAGCTGCCTCCATTCTCAACATGGTGGGGCACAAATGTCACAGTGCACTGCACTGGGGTTTCTCACCTGTGTCCTCTTGAGATCCTAGGCTCAGGTAGAATTCTTGCTGGCTTTGGAATTCTTGGTACCCAGTGTGCCACAAGTCTTCAGTCAAGTTGAATCCGAATTGGGGATTGCTCTGTGAGGCTTTGGTGGGTGACATGTAAAGTACACAGCAGTGAGGGACAGGTTTAGTGGTAGACGCAGGAATGGTCACACTTCCTTTTTCAAAAATTTATTTATTTTTATTTTATGTGTCTGAGTGTTTTGCCTGCATGTATGTACGTTCACAACATTCGTACAATGCTTATGGAGGTCAGAAGACATTGAATCCCCTGGAACTGGAGTTACAGATGATTGTTAACCTCTATGTGGGTGCTGGGAATCAAAACCCTGTCCTCTGCAAGAGGAGCTAGTGATCTTAACTTCTGAGCCATCTCTCCAGCCCCAGTACTACATTTCTTTTAAAAAAATATTTTATTATTTTATGTGTATGGGTGTTTTGCCTACAAGTATGTAAGTGTACCACATTCATGCAGTACACATGGAGGCCAGAAGGGGGCATCAGATCCTTTGAAATTGGAGTTATAGACAGTTGTTAGCTGCCATATGGTGCTAGGAAATAAGCCTGGATTCTCTCCAAGAGTAACAAGCGCTCTTAACTGCTGACCCATCTCTCCCGCCCATGGTCACACTCCTTATGGAAAGGGGAGCATGCTGAGCTAGCTAGAGTTCCTCTATTATATTTCTGACTCCTGCCAGTGATCTGCAGGGCAGTCATGATGTTGAGCCTTGTCAGGGCAAGAAGCAAAAAGCTGCCTGTCCTGGGCCCTGGCTGTTGGGGACTTTGTGTAAGATGGTATAGTTCATGGTTGACACCTGTCACCAGGATCAGAGGTTCTTTCCCAAAGTGTCTGAATGTGGTCCTGTAGGAGGGAATGCAGGCTCTGCTTCCCCTCTAACCTTGTCCTTCTCCTCACAGGAGAACCTTATGCTTTCCATCCTGCCCAAGCATGTGGCTGATGAGATGTTGAAGGACATGAAGAAAGATGAGAGCCAGAAGGACCAGCAGCAGTTCAACACCATGTACATGTACCGGCATGAGAACGTCAGGTGTGCTGGCCCAGAGGCCTGAGCCCTAAAAATAGGATAGGCCAGGGAGGCACATGTCCTCATGGGATCTGCTGAGCACTGTGGGGTTTGATTTTCCCAGGGGCTGGGGGCAAGGCCACCCTGTAGTGAGTGCCTCACTGGGCACCTTGGTTCCCCTGACTTCTCAGCCCTATGGGAGGATCCATACTGGAAGACATTGGGGTAGAAGAGTGCTTTAGCCTGCATCTAACCCATCGTTGAATTAAAGTCACCTGGAGTGGGATGGGACTCCTCTGAGGTCACCCAGCCATTCAGGGCCAACTCTGAGACTAGAACTATGGCCCCTGATTCTAGAAAGATCTTTAGCCAGGAGAAGCTTTGCTGAGGATAAGCTGCAGTGGCCAGGCCCTGCCACGGTCTCATTGTACTAGGCTTGAGCAAGACCTTTCTTTGCTGGCAAGACTGGGTGATGGAGTTAGCACTCTCTGGGATCTTACCACCTACGGTCTCCCTCCTTTTGCAGCATCCTGTTTGCAGATATTGTGGGTTTCACCCAGCTGTCCTCTGCCTGCAGTGCCCAGGAGCTCGTAAAACTACTCAACGAGCTCTTTGCCCGCTTTGACAAGCTGGCGGCTGTAAGTACCCAACACACCAGCTCTTCTGCTGCTCTGTTCCTCAGACCTCGGTCCCTAGGCTTCAGACCTTCCCTGGCTCCTTGATTTGCCCCACATGGCCTTTCTGGCTTCAGGGGCCAGGAGCTCAGGCCATGTTCTGCCCTTTCAGAAATACCACCAGCTGCGGATCAAGATCCTGGGAGACTGTTACTACTGCATCTGTGGGCTGCCGGACTACCGGGAGGACCATGCTGTGTGCTCCATCCTCATGGGCCTCGCCATGGTGGAGGCCATCTCGTAAGTGAATGCCTCTGGGAGGGTGGGGTGGCTACACACGCAGCACTGGGGAAGAACTATTTGAGATGTGGAGTAAGGCTCAGTTCCAGTCCTGGGAAGTTAGGACTCACAGCTGAGGGATTAGCGAGACTCCACAGCCTCTGGGACATGTTTCTTCAGCCTTTGGTCATGACATTTTTCTTTCTTTTTTTTTCTGCTGTTAGTAGGAGTTGGGAAGTTCATCATTCTACCTCCATTGTTGGAGAATCTCCTCTGTGGATTTCTCCATCTTTTTCCCCACTGTTTTATCATCATGACCCACCTCTCTGAAGCAGATCAGTTCAGGGTCTGCCCTCCAGGTCACGGTTAAGGAACTGCTGAGTCCCATGCTACAGGGGTGACAGATGGGATGGGAACCTAGCTTCTGTTCCAGCCCATGCTCTGCCTCCACCGGTGGGCTTGAGGGTAGTGAACTCCCTTCCCCTCACTCCTGCCCCTTGTTGCTGTCCCACATGGAGACCCCTGGGAGAGCGGTTCCTCAGTAGACTTGGTGGGTGATGGTCCAGGGCGAGATCAAGCACAGAGCGGAAAAGGAAGTTGTCAGGAGGTCTCTCCCTTCAGGGACCGCACCTGGGCTATCCACCACTCACCCTGCCTCTGGGACCACTATGCATTCTTATCATCTCCCAGGTTGAAGCCCCCCCCTCGCCCCCAGTGTCCTTCCTTCCTCCCATGGGGCTGTAGGTTAGGACTAGAAACCTCAGCTTTGCCTCCCACCTTGTAGGCAAATTTCTGGATTTTGTTTTCTCTCTTCTTGGAGTTCTCAAGCAAGAAACTGTTTGCTGTGAGTTTGTTCATCTCTGTGTCTGCATCATGCAGAATGCACCAGACACAAACTCATTGAAGCATTAACTGCATGAATGAACGAATGTCGAAAGAGAGGACTAGGTGGTCCCTTGAGGGAATGAGGGATGTCCCCCATTCCTGTCATCACGGAATCTGGATTCTGGCCTGCCTTAACCCCAGCACAGGGCACTTAGCTCAGACAGGCAGAAAGCCAAAGAGGGTTCCTTCAGCCCAGAGGAGGAAAGCTCATTGAGAGTTCCACCCAAGAAGGCAAGGGCTGCTGGGCACCTCACAGAGCCCATGCATTACCTGTCTCTACCTCTCTGTGTCTGGCAGGTATGTGCGGGAGAAGACCAAGACGGGAGTGGACATGCGTGTGGGGGTACACACAGGCACTGTGCTAGGTGGCGTCCTGGGCCAGAAACGGTGGCAGTATGATGTGTGGTCCACTGATGTCACTGTGGCTAACAAGATGGAGGCTGGAGGTATTCCAGGGTGAGTGCTACTTCCAAGGGGGCAGGTGTAAGGTTCAAGGCAGAAGACCATCTCTACTCCCAGGGCCGTGGCTCTAATGAGGGGACCTAGAGACCCTTCTCTCTCAGGAGGAGTGTTTCAGTGCCTCAGTGGTCTAGTTCATTCCTGTTACTGTGATAAAACACTCCGACCAAAAGTAGCTTGAGGAGGAAAGGGCTTATTTGGCTTACACTTCCAGGTTGCAATCCACCATGAAATCAGAGTAGGAACTCAAGTAGGAATTGAAGTAGAAACCCTGGAGGACTGCAGCTTACTGGCTTGTTCTCTGTTCTCCGGCTTGCTAGCTGGCTCATGCTCAGCTACCTTTCTTATATAGCCCAGACTCACCTGCCTAGGGTGATGTCACTCACAGAGGGTTGGGCACTCCCATATTAATCAAAATAGTCCCTTAAGACACGGTCACAGGCCAGTCTGATCTGGGAAATTCCTCAATTGAGGTTCCCTCTTCCCAAGTGAAGAGGATGTATCAAGTTGATAATAAAAACTAACCAGCACATCTTGCCTCTGACTACAGTGACTCTTTTGGATGCCTATCATTGGACAGGCTGCAGGATTGCCTGGCCAGCCTTCCTGCCCTTGGAGCTTCATTAGAGACCATTCCAGTTTTCTCCTCAGTGACTCTGAGTGGGCCATAGTCCCCTGTGGCAGCAGGAGATGCAAGGCAGGGATAATCAGATCCTTAGAGTCGAGAGCTGGCATTTACATTCTGTGTCTCACTTGACCTGCTTAAGAGCCAGGAGGGAAAATTGTATTCCTAAGAATCCAACACTGAGGCTCAGGGCTGTGGGTGCTCTGCTGCCCACACAGCTAGTTAGCAGCAGTCTGCTGTTCCCTTGGCCTCTGCCCAGTGTGTTCTGGAGTCACCAGTTCCAGCATCAGTTGGTGCTATGTTGTCTCCTGGCTGTCCCTTGGGAAATCGAGGGCTGCCTCTGGCTCATGCTTAGAGTGTCTTGCTGTACTGCAGGCGAGTGCACATCTCTCAGAGCACCATGGACTGCCTGAAAGGGGAGTTTGACGTGGAGCCTGGTGATGGGGGCAGCCGCTGTGATTACCTAGAGGAGAAGGGCATCGAAACCTACCTCATCATTGCCTCCAAGCCAGAGGTGAAGAAAACTGCCCAGAATGGTCTCAATGGCTCGGTGAGTCCCCTATCCAATCCCAGTAGCGAATTGGAAAGAAAAGATATAGAAAAGAGCAATTAGCAATTACAGGTGTTGTGCACCTGTAATCCTACCACATGAGAGGCTGAAGCAGGACTTCAAGGCTAGCCTGGGCTACCCTGTCTCAAAAAATAAATTTAAAGAGTGATTATAGAGGAGTTGGCTTGTGATTGACCATATGAGAGGCAGATGGATGTGGAAAATGAATCTGAGCCCCATATCACTAGGTCCAGCGGTGGTGTCTTTCAGAAAGTGGTTCTGGGCAGGTTGGAGTTAAGAGGACTGTAAAGACAACATCCAGAGTTGTGGGTGTGGCTGAAGCCAGTGGGAGAGATACTAGGCAGGTGAGGCTGGTCATCAAGAAAGAGGGAAGTCAAGGCGGGGCGGGGGAGGTTTCCCAGTGTAAATAGAGAAGAACAGACAGAAATAGCAGAGCCATCATGTGGGCCTGCACTGGGTCTGGTCCCTGTACTGTGTCCCCCACATTCTCCCCTCTGCATATCCTGCTCCAGCAGTGTTGGCCTCCTGGCTGTTACATCCTGGGAGCACAGCCTCCTGTAGGACCTTTGCAGTGAGCCATTACTTTTTCTTGGATCTCTTTCTCTCTCTCTCTCTCTCTCTCTCTCTCTCTCTCTCTCTCTCTCTCTCTCTCTCTCTCTCTCCCTCCCTCCCTCCTCCCCCCCCGCCCAGTATCTTACTATATGGCCCTGGCTGGCCTGGGACTGGCTATGTAGACCAGATTGGCTACAACCTCACCGCTCTGCCCGTCTAGGGCCCCCGGCCCTGGCTGGCCTGGAACTGGCTATGTAGACCAGATTGGCTCGACCTTCAGCGATCTGCCTGCCTGTGCCAAGTACTGGGATTAAAAGCACGCACCCCCACACCTGGCCCTCCTTTGTTTCTGAAACATTCTTTCAGGTCTATTGTTTCAGCCATCTTATGAGTAACACCCTCCCCTGCCTGCCCTCTTTATGACCAGACTCCCCAACAACCCCTACACCCACTTTCCTACTTCCCTTCCACTTTCCTGTGACTGCTTTTTCTATATTTTTCTATTATCTATTCTTCCTCAAGAGACTGTTGATGAGAATGTGAGCTCCAACAGGGCAGGAAATTTTGTCTCTACTCAACAGATACTTCTTAACTGAATGAGGAAACTGTTCCCCAGTTACAGTGTTTAACTCTCTACCAAGGACAAACATTAATCAAGGGTTTGTGGAGGTTATTCAGACTTGATAGGACGCCCACAAAACAAACTTTAGGGAGTCACTGTCATTGGGTTACTGTCTTAGAAATTGGAGCAATTAGGTCTTTACTTTGTTTAGAAGACTATTAGTAGTAGAAGTTGATACTAGAAAATGACAGCATTTAAAAATGAACATTGGGGAGGATGAGCTGAGTAATGAAATTTCTAGGTCAGCAAGGCTTCTGTAAATCTAGGGGGAGATTTTAGAACCACAGTAGAACAGTCATAGGCTGCAGTGGGTAGTGGGCAGTGTTTGGGGGGACCCGATGATGGCTCTTTTCTGCTGCAGGCCCTGCCAAATGGAGCCCCAATGTCCTCCAAGCCCAGCTCCCCTGCCCTTATTGAGACCAAGGAACCCAATGGGAGCACCCATGCCAGCGGCTCCATGTCGGAGGAGGCTGAGGAGCAGGAGGCCCAGGTGGGTGTGGGGCTAGGGCATGGAGTGGGGAGCAGTAGGTCGCTGCAGTGGGAGCCCATGTTGGGAGGGGGAGGATTGACCACTAGCCCAGGCTTTGCTTCTTTTCACCAACATGAGCATAGTTAGATAGTGTAACTATTACATGGGATAAGAGAGGATAAAGGGCAAACAAACTCCCTAGGCCCCATTAGCTGGGGTGGCCCAGTCTTGTAGATTCAGGATCTGTGAGGATTCTCCAGGATGTGAGCCTGTTTGGGAGAGATACTTTGGGAACTAGACACTCCCCTCTCAGTAGGTCATACCCCATGAGTTCCATACACAGAGAAGCCAGAAGTAAGGACTGGTCTGTCTGCGCCCCCAAAGGATGAGGCACTTTCTAAAAAACAACCAAGAACCACACATTACTAGGGAGCCTATCGAACATGTCCACTGACAAAGGTGATCTCTGCTTTAGTCCAGACTGGGAGCTGGTGGCAGGGCTGTCAGTCTCCTGGTGCAAGTCACAGGAGTTGTCCTTAAGGCCTTTAGACACTGTAGAAAGTAGACAGGATTCCATGGAAGCTGGCTTTTCCTTGAGTACCCATTCAGTTGCTTGTTCTTAGTGTGATTTTCTTTCTTTTTTAAAAAATATTTTATTATTTTTTTTTGTGTATGTGTGTATTGCCTGCATGTAGGTAAGTACACCCGTGTTGTGCAAAACCCGCAGAAGATAGAAGAGGCCATCAGATCCCCTGGAACTGGAGTTACAGACAGTTGTTAGCTGCCATGTGGGTGCTGGGATTCGAATCTGGGTCTTCTGGAAGAACAGCCAGTGTTCTTAAACGTTGAGCCATCTCTCCAGCCCCTTCTTTTATTTATTATTTTTATTTTATGTGTGTGGGTGTATTGCCTGCATGCATGTAAGTATATCCATGTCATGCAGTGCCCTTGGAGGTTAGAAAAAGGTATCAGATCCCCTAGAACTAGAGTTACAGATGATTGTAAACTGTGGGTACTGGGACTCGAACTTGGGTCCTCTGCAAGAGCAGCCCGTGCTCTTAACTTCTGAGGCATCTCTCCAACCCCCTTAGTGTGGTTTTCTTGATAGAAAGTGGACCTGCAGATTTCACGTTGCTTGCTTCTGACATGGCTTAAGCAGCCTGAGACTCTTTATATCCTCAGTATTGATGGTGTCGCTCAGATCTAGTATAGGCACTGTGGACAGAGGCTCTTAGTACAGACCAGGCCATTCACAGCATGTTACAGACGAGACACATGGGTCTGAGAACACAGCTTATTTGGGGTCAAGCAGCCAGCAGTTGAGCTTCAGACCAGAAGTCTCGGCTCTGGTTTCAAATATGCTTTCAGACTCCTGGACGCAGCTGAGAGGCCTGGGCTGTTACCATTTGGCCTGATGGCTTGTGATCCCATCCTGGCTTCGGTTTTAGGGTTGCTGCTTCTCTTTTGTGATGGGGAATAAAATAGTGGATGCCCCAGCTCTGCCAAGTGTAACTGATGCCTGGAGCCCCAGGGTGGGAGGTTACTCATGCCCTCAGCAATGCCCATAGCTAGGGCTTCTTGTGAGACTCACATCCCCATCCAGCAGCAGGATGTCCCAGGATCATGCTACCCCAATTCAGGACATGTCTTGGATTCTGAGTCTGCCTGAGAGCCAAGCTGAGGGTCCCCATGGCATGGCTGTTCGTGTTAGCTTCTATTAGGGGCTCAGGGAGGACCACAGGACTAGAGCTTTGCGTCTATACCCCAGCAGAATGGAGCCTCGGAAGAGGGATTGGTCCACAGAAGTGCAACCTCTTCTGTTCCCTTCCTCTTCCCTGCTAGTCTTCCCTACATCCTCTCCCTACACTGTGCCCTACTGACTCTGCCTCCCTGGCTTCCAGGCCGACAACCCCTCGTTCCCCAACCCCCGCCGCAGGCTGCGCCTCCAGGACCTGGCAGACCGTGTGGTGGATGCCTCTGAGGATGAGCACGAGCTCAATCAGCTGCTCAACGAGGCCTTGCTGGAGCGGGAATCTGCCCAGGTGTAAGTGGCCACTATTGAGGCCCCAGTTGCCACTCCTCACTGGCCCTTACTCAGTACAGGAAACAGTCATCTGAAGAGGCCCTGTCCCAGCAAGCTGTGGCAGGTGTGACATGTGCTTACAGGGCTGTTCCATGGCAGGGTGAAGAAGAGAAACACCTTCCTCCTGACCATGCGGTTCATGGACCCTGAGATGGAAACACGCTACTCTGTGGAGAAGGAGAAGCAGAGCGGGGCCGCCTTCAGCTGCTCCTGTGTCGTCCTGTTCTGCACAGCTATGGTGGAGATCCTCATTGACCCCTGGTGAGGATAGATGGGGTAGGGCTGACAGGCCAGGAGGAGATGGGCTTGAGGCTCCCCAGGTGATAGCACTGTCTGTGAAAAACCAGCACTGTAGCCTTGTTTTTGATCAACGACTCTTTCTCATCTTAAACCTACATGATTGCACAACAGTGCTAACACCTGAGTGCTAGCAGGGCTAGGAGAGCTTGGGACAGGTGCATCCAGGATGGAGAAAGTGGCTGGGTATTCCTAGAGAAGTTCCAGGGACAAGAGTGCAGCTATCACCTCAGCCTTATTCACTAAGGCCACACTGCCTTTTCTTTTTTGGTTCATCTTAGTAAAACTAGATTTTAGGCCCTGGACACAGACTGATGCCAGCAACAGGTCCTCTAAGGAAAGGCAGGGCATCCCAAAGTCCTTGCTCAGCAGTGGAAGCGCCACTTGAAGGATGACTGTCACCCTCCTGCCCTTAAGGGACTACTGAGCATCTCCTTTAAGCAGAGACTCCTATCTCCCATCAGAAAGCAGAGTGTGTGGAGCCCTGCTTGGATTAGTTTGGGACTTTGCTGGGCATGGTGGTGCATGCCTTTATTCCCGGCACTTGGGAAGCAGAGAAAGGAGGATCTCTGTGAGATCAAGGCTAGCCTGGTAAACATAGCAAGTTCCAGATCAGCCAGGGGTATAGGGAAGCCCTGTCTCAAAAGACCATAAAAAAACCTGGCTACATCACCTCAGTTTCCATTGGCAGGATGGTGGCAAGTCCCTGAAGGAGCCCAGAGCACCAGTTTGCTCATGTGACAAAGGAGGATACCCACCCTACACAGCTCTGAAGAGCAGAGCCATTCAGTTTATAAATGTGTTATACCTGGGGATATAGTGGTGACCAGAACAAATTCCTGCTCTTGTGTTGCTTGCATTCTCACAAGGGGAGACAGGCACAAACATTTAAGTAACTAAAGTATGTGTGCAGGGGTGAAAGTAAAATAAAGAAGGGAAGGGGCTGGAGAGATGGCTCAGAGATTAAGAACACTGGTTGTTCTTGCAGAAGACCCAGGTTCAAATCCCAGCACCCACATGGCAGCTAACAACTGTCCATAACTCCAGTCCCAGAGGATCCGACAGCCTCTTCTGACCTCCGCAAGGCATTGCACGACACGGGTGCACTTACCTACATGCGGACAATACATGCATACACATAAAATTAAAAATATTTTTTTTTTAAATTTAAAGATAAGAGAAATAGGTGTGGAGTGCAGTGGGGGATGGTGCTGGAGAGTTCAGACCTTATTGACAAGGTGCTATGTCAGTAGAGTCCTCAAGGGGTGGGGAGAGCCTTGAGCTGTCTGGGGACACTTGTCTTGGGCACAAATGTAGAGGCAGTAGTAGTGTGCCAAGCATCTCCAGGCATATAATGAAGGGTCAATGCTGGTAGACAGGGTGCTGAGGGACAGTGGGGAGAGGTAGGGTAGAGAGTGAGAGTCTTAGAGATGGAGCCAGAGTGCAGCTCATAGTCTGAAAAGCAGGGGCTGCAGGAAGGACGCAGGTAGAGGAAGCCCCTGTTGGGCATTTATTTAAGATGGATCTTTCTGGCTGTGTTGAGAACTGAGTTTAGTGTGCAAGAGTGGAACCCGAGATAAGTGACAATGGCAGTGACCCAGACAACCACAGGATGGCTTGGGCCATGCTGAAGTTAGAGAACGTGAGGATAAGGGGTTGGACCATGGATTTTATTGCAGAATGACTGGATTCTGAGCTGGCAGGATTCAGTGGCAGATTTGTTGCAGGGTGTGAAAGAGCAAAGCCAAGGTTTTTTATTTGAGTAACTGGCAGGATGGAGTTGTATTAACCAAGGAGGAGAACATTGGGAGAGGAGGGGTAGAATGGCAAAGATTGGGAATTTGAGTTGCCTGTGTGGTACTGTCCATGAGGTGGCTGTGTTATATAACTTGGGGCCCAGGGAGAGGCTGGGGCTGGTGGTACAAACCTGAGAGTCATCCACACAGTGCACCAGGAGTATAGACTTGCTAATATCATTAAGGGAGAGTGGGCAGGAGAAGTGGGTCAAGGCCTGAGCTGTGTGTATAGATGAGGTGACAAATTACCACAGGGACCAAAAAGATTCTGAAAACCAAGTGAGAAAATGTTTCAAGGAGAGTTAAGAGGTGACCTCGAATTGGACACTGGATTAGCAATGTGGAGGTTTCTGGGGCTCTTGGTAAGAGTGTTCTCCATGGAGGAGTGAAATAGGAATAGGTGTGAGTGAGGGAATTGGAGCAGCAGATATCCCAGAGTGAGTGGGAAGAAGTGGACACGTTCACTGTGGCTCTGTGTAAAGAATGCCTCAGCAGCTAAGCATGACTCCTATACTTTGCTCTGTACTGTTTCCCTCCCAGCTATATCACCAATGCTCATTCCTAAGGATTCCTTCCCAAGCTGTTATTGTACTATTTTCAGGGCATCTTTGACCCTCCTACCTCTGGAAAAAAAGTCTCAGTGGTCTGTTAAGAGCTGGAAGGTGGCACATTTCCAGGCTCTGCCCTGCCAGCCCTCCTCTTGACCAGAGCCTCACATCCTGTTCTGCTGAACCAGCAGTAATGGTTCCCTGGCACCACATGGAACTTGCCAGTCACCAGCTTGTGCCTTGCTTGTCCCTGGTCTCTCCAAGCCCGTGACTCTCACTCTTCCCCTTGGCCCTTCCTCAGTCATCTTTTCTCTGCCACAGGCTCATGACAAACTACGTGACCTTTGTGGTTGGGGAGGTACTGCTCCTGATCCTGACCATCTGCTCACTGGCTGCCATCTTTCCTAGGGTAAGAGACATTCTTCAGTTGAGCTCAGAAACTTCTGGGAGAGAGTAACATTCTTTGTGTAAATGATGGATTTAGGCTCCCTGAAAATCTTGATGGACCCGTCTGTGGGCATCATTCAGGCATCCATCCATCCATCTATCTATCCATACTTCCATCCATCCATCCATCCATCCATCCATCCATCCACCAATCCATCCATTTTATGGCAACTGGGCACCCTGTGGTCTGAGACCTTGTGCTGTGGCATGTGTGAGTAAGCAGGTTGGATAAAGAGTACCTGGGTAGGAAGGTGGATTGACTTTGTAAAGGGCCGTAAAAGCCAGTCTAAAGGAATTAATACTTCTTCTCCAGGCACTAGGGTGCCAGGCAGTTTTTTTTTTTTTTTTATCAGAATGACAGAGGAAAAGCAGTGTTTTAGGAAAATCCTGCAGGACTCTTGCCAGGTAACCTGACCCAGGAAAAGAGGTGGCTAGGTAAATGACTGGTCTTAATGTTGTTCCCTGCCCTGGCCTTGCCTCTGGGAGATGGAGAGTGGGCCCTGCTGGCTGGTGCTACCCACATGTCCTGGATGATCAGTGTGTCTGCTTATCCTGGAGGCCTGGGGCTATACCTGTACCCCAAGGTCCTGCACTCTTGTATCCTCTCCCTGTCAGTTTCAGTGAACCATAGGCAAAGTGCAAAGAGCACAGGAGCAGGAGTCATGAGCAGTCATATCTGCAACATATAATCCGAGGCTCAAGCCCTTGAAATCCCATTTCTTGTAGGCCTTTCCTAAGAAGCTTGTGGCCTTTTCATCTTGGATCGACCGGACACGCTGGGCCAGGAACACCTGGGCCATGTTAGCCATTTTCATTCTAGTCATGACCAATGTTGTGGACGTGGTGAGTGCGTGCTTCCTTGTTGGAGGGATGCCCAAACCCAGGGGAGAAGCCCTGTGCACTGTTAGCATGGGCAGTTTGCCAGTCCATCCCTCTGCCAGCAGATATACATTTAAGGTGATTTAATTTGGCACTGGTCATCTCTGCCAGGTGGAAAGGGTCTTCTTGTGGGTATCCAGGGACCCTCTGAGACTGACTTGGTTTTTTGCAGCTATTCCCTCTCCCAGAGTCCAATCTGCTAGGTATATCAGTATCTGCTGTTTCATATGAAGGAATTAAGGCTCAGAAACAGCCAATCAATACCAAAGTCAAGAATTGAAGTGGTTCTAGAGGCTGGGAGATAGCTCAGTCAGTAAAATGCTCAGGACCTGAGTTGGATCCCCAAAACCCATGTTTTTTTAAAAAAGCCAGATGTTAGCTAGGCATGGTGGTGCACGCCTTTAATCCCAGCACTCGGGAGACAGAGGCAGGAGGATTTCTGTAAATTCAAGGCCAGCCTGGTCTATATAGTGAGTTCCAGGCCAGCTGGGGCTGCAGGGAGACCCTGTCTCAAAAAAGAGCCCCCCCCCCAAAAAAAAAGCCAGATGTTGTGTGTGTTTATAATCCCAGTGCTGGGGATACAAAGGCAGGTGGAACTCTGGGGATCACCGACCAGCCAGCTTAGCTAGTTGAGAATTCCAGACCAATGAGAGACCCTGTCTTTGTTTTTCAGGCAGATAACACCTGAGGAATGACACAGGAGGTTGTGCTCTGGCCTCCAGAAACATATGCATACTTGTGTATGCACATTGGCACACACACACACACACACACACACACACACACACACACCAGATCTAAGTTGTCTTCCTCCATATGTCACTGCTTAAGGGGCAGAATACGCATGAGCATTCATGGGTTGTGTTCGTTGCAGTGTCTAGTGTTGGGTATCCCCTGGGGCTGGGGAGGTGAACCTGTACCCTCAAGAAATCCTCTTGTTTACATTCCTAGAGCTGAGCAGGAACGCAGTTTCACTGAGCCCAGTTAGCTCAGGGGAGACAAGATCATTTGTTCTCTGTTCTCAGTTCATGGAGAGCTAAGGTCCCATGAGAAGGCAGCCGGATGCCTTGTCCGGGCAAAGGGACAGGAGCTGGAGGCCTAGATCTGTTGCTTTGAAGCACTGAGTGCTTAGAACTATCATTAAAGATTCCTCGAATCTGGATAGTACTGTGTGCACTCCCTTAAGTCCTTTTCTCAAGTATGTTCTTAGAGTATTTTCTATACTTTAACAATTTAAGCACAGGAGTAAAATCGGCCTACAGACTTACTCTGGAAATAATAAAGGTGAAAAAGTGCTAGGGCTACAACTCCTGGGTAAGAATTTAGGGACTCCAGGCAGAGCATGCCCATGGGTTGTATGGTGTCCAACATACATGCCCTAATCCCTTGTATCAAAACACATGTGAAGCTGGCACCCAGGTCTGAGGGCCTGTGCAGGGGTGAAAAAATAGGGGCACAAAGATCCTGCATGCCTGAGCGTTATATGCCAAGACCTTGCCCCATACCCAGGTGAGCTGCAAGTTACACAGAAAGATTTGGTCAGTTTATGGATGCATCCTCTGTTGACTCTACTGGGCCAGCAGTGAAATCACTAAACAGAGTCCAGAAGGTAGTGAGATCCCTGGTGGCAGTTTGGGGTGGATTGGCTGTCTCCACAGAGATTCCGACTGGCCCCACAGCTGCTCCCGCAGCAACAGTGCAATGTGAAAAGCATGTTGAACCAGAAGCATAGAGATCTGACTCCAGGGCCTCGTTTGACACTTGCTGATTATCTCAGAGTTTTCTATGCACCAGGTGCATTGCTAACAATACTCAGTGAATTTTTCTGAACATCAGATGAGATTGTAGCAAAGCTCTTGATAGCAGTTTCAAGCTTGTAGTCTTACTCCCCAATAAACTTCCCTTCTGTCTTGGTGTTTCTAGGGAACAGTGGGGGGTGTGGCTGTCATGGTTCAGCCCCTTCTGACCTGCTACTGCTGTTCCTTTGTGCCCCTCTCCCTTACAATGGTCCTGGTCTCCAGCTTAGCTGTCTCCAATACTACATGGGACCCTACAATGGGACAGCTGGGATAGAGCTGGATGGTGGCTGTCTGGAGAACCCCAAGTATTACAACTACGTTGCTGTGCTGTCCCTCATCGCCACCATCATGCTAGTGCAGGTCAGCCACATGGTGAAGCTGACGCTCATGCTACTCGTCACTGGCGCGGTGACTGCCATCAACCTCTATGCCTGGTGTCCCGTCTTTGATGAATACGACCACAAACGCTTTCAGGAACATGAGTAAGAGGAAGCCTGAATGAGGATCTGCATGGTCTCCTTTCTCCCCTTGTCCCCATTACAAGGTCATGGGCCTGTGTTGTGGTAGCTTTCTACCTCAGGGTCCTCAAAGGAACAAATGGGGAACAGGGTTCAGGGCTTCTCACAAACATGCCATTGGTAGGGACAGTTCCTTTTCATCTTGGAACACCTCAGTGTTTGGCTGAGGCATCATCCTCTTAGATCCAGGCATGGCCTAAGTGTGCTGTTATCTATTCAACAGCTCTCCTATGGTGGCTTTAGAGAAGATGCAGGTATTTTCTACCCCAGGGCTCAATGGCACTGACAGGTAAGTGTCACTGTGTTCCTCCCCTTGTCTGCATGTGCAGTCCTTCTTATAGACAGAGAATACAACAGGATGACACCTCAGGATCTCACTCTTCCAAAGACATGTGGTCTCAGGTATACAGGTTAGAGGGGCTGCATGTGTTTCTCTGGGAGGGCTGGACAGAGGCTGTGTGAGTTCAGCCAGCACTTGAACACCCGGGCCTCTCCTGCATCGAAAACAGGGACGCTTGACAGCAGAGCATTGCGGGTGGAGGGCAGGTGTGGAGGCTGGAGCAGGGCAGTGTGGCTGAGGGCAGGTGTGGAGGCTGGAGCAGAGGAAGACTGCCAAGTCGGTGACAGTGGTGTTTAACTGGCTGGTACAATAGACAGGTGACAGGAGAATGAGGAAAGAGCGCCAAGCTGGAATTCAGACGTGGTTCCACTGCAGTCAGTACTCCCCTCTGGAGTAAGAGGCAAGTCAGTTTTCTGAGTCTGAGGAGGACATTGAACTAGAAGTTCTCTAAGGCACTATCTAACTTGAAAGTTTTAGAATTTCCGACTTTAAAGTAAGCATTAAAAAAAAAAAAGATACTACTCAATGGAGGATAGGTGAGAGACTTGAATAGGCTCCTCATAAAATAAGTCTAAATGGACACTAATAAAAGGGCATTTAGATAATCAAAGAAATGAAGATTAGGGGCTGGAGAGATGGCTCAGCAATTAAGAACATTTGCTGCTCTTCCAGAGGACCTGGGTTCAAGTCCCAGCACCCACATGGCAGCTAACAGCCACCTGTAACTCCAGTTTCAGGGGATCCAGTGCCCTCTTCTGGCCTTTGTGTGCATTGCATGACATGGGTGCACTTACATACATGCAGGCAAGACACTTGTACACATAAAAATAAAAAAATCAAATATTTTAAAAAGATGCAAATTAAAGTCATAAAAAATGTTATTATATACTTGCCAATTTGGCAACATTTTTATAAGTTCAGTGATAACTCATGCTCCTGGTGGTGGTATAAACTGTTATAACCATTTTAGAAAACAATTCAGATTTATTTAGTAAAGTTGAAAGTAAGCCTATGAGGCTGGGTATATAGCTTAGTTGGTGGAGTGCTTGCCACCCATGCACAAAGCCTTGGATTAGCTCCTCAGCACTGCATAAACCCAGAATGGTGGTGCACACATGTAATCCTAACACTCAGGAGGTAGAGGCAGGAGGATCAAGAGTTCAGAATCATCTTCAGCTATATCATGAGTTCAAGAGATCCTGTCTCAAGAAGCACTCTTCCCCTGAAATAAATCTATGACCCAGAAATGCCATTTCTACATGCGACACATCTTGGGAAAGTTCATGTATACACACACACACACACACACATCCCAAAAAATACATACAAGAATGTCTCTAGCAGCAATGTTCACAATATACACAAAATCTAAACAGAAGCTACCAAATGACATCTCTGATAAATGGATATATAAATTGTCTCTTCATATGGTAGTACAGTGTACAGTGATGGAAGTTAACTGTGACTCTACACAGAAATATGACCAAAGTTAGGGGAAAATCCATGGTAAGATTGTGACCTGGTCCCACTACTATGGAGTCGCAACATTATGGTGTTAGTCTCCTTTATCCAAAATCTTACAGTTAGTAGCTACTTCTTAGTAGCTGCGTCAGGTGCTGTGGCAATTACTAAGCATCTAAGGAGCAGCCCTAATGTGAACAGCATGTGTAGTCAGAAGGGGCTGGAGGGCTGCTGGAGCTTCAAAGCCCAATGGCCTAAAAAATTCCAGTCCTGGGTGCCTGTGTGTGTGTCTGTTTTTATGTTAAAGGGTCTGGGGAGGGGGTCTGGGAAGCTTCTGAGGCCCAGTACATTCTAGTGAGAAGAATGAGTCCCTTCTGGGGGGCAGGGGCTCTGCTTCAGTTGCATTCCTGTCTGCCCAGCAGGCTGTCCCTGATGCCTTCTAAGTACTCAATGACAGTGATGATGTTCATCATGATGCTGAGCTTTTACTACTTCTCCCGCCACGTGAGTGCCACGCAGCATCCTCTTCTCATGTGCCCTACCCTGCTAACGCCTCCCAACAAGCTATCCCCAGGACCCACCCAGGCTCCTAAGAAAGGTTCCTTCACCTTGCATGGCATGTGGAAGGCACTGGTTTTTCTGTGTTCTGGTTTCTTCCTCAGTAATATAAAGATACTTCTTCCTCTGACCTCCAGGAAGTTCAAAGAAGCACTGGAGGGTGAATATTCCTTAGGCAGGACTCATGACTGCTGCCCTCACCCTGACATGGGGGGGTCAGTGACGCACTGACCAGAGTCAGAAAAGAACGGAAAGGCACCAAAGAAGTTTGTGTAAAAGGAACTAGTATCCATATGAGGACTGTGTTAGCTTGGGTGCCCCCGAGTGGTTTTCCAGGGAAAGTACAGCCTCCCCAAGCCACTTCACCATGCAGCTGCTAGAAATGGGAACGTCACTCTGGGCTGAGAGATCCTTCTCTGCTCTTCCCCAAGACCTGCAAACTAAAGTTAGGTCACAGGAGAGCCCTATACATAGGGAAGGCCTCTTAGGCCTCTGCTGTAATGAGGTCTGGGTCCTCACTGCAGCTGTGGGGTGACATTTGATGAGATAAAACCCTCAGGCTCTTTCCTTGCCCTTTAGCCATCTTCCTTCCAGTTTTTCCATGTGCAGCCCTGCCATTCCAATCCCCATTTTTCATTTTTCCACCAACAATTGGCTTTAGAGCATACACCTTGCCTGTCTTGTCTATACCTGTATCTGTAGGTGGAAAAACTGGCTCGGACACTGTTCCTGTGGAAGATTGAGGTCCATGACCAGAAAGAACGTGTGTATGAGATGCGACGATGGAACGAGGCCTTAGTCACCAACATGTTGCCCGAGCATGTTGCACGCCATTTCCTGGGGTCCAAGAAGAGAGATGAGGTGAGGGATGGGGCCTAGAGCCATGGAGCCCATTGTCTTCATCTGCTCCTCCTTCCAAGGAGGGCCCAAGTCTTCTCAGAACTGGCGTTGGAAGTCCAAGTAGGGCTGAACCTAACCAGCAACAATATTAGCAAGAAAACTTCCCAAGCCTCTTCTAAAGGACACTGCTCTGGACAGTGCTTATGTATGCTGCATCTCTGGGGCCATAGCACCCATTCTATGGATCTGCCCTTCTCAAACCAAGGTGGATAAAGGCACCACTGAACTTCCCTGAAAACGTTCCTCATGGCTGGGCTGCTCCACGAGCTAGGAAATCAACTTTTCATTTATTCATAGTGGGAATTAGCTGTTTGCTAATTATTCAAAGTTGGGCTCAGAAAGCTGAATGCAGACACCACTTGTGAGGAACACAGATTGGTTTCCCTAGCATGGCATCTCATCAGGCAGCCATCCCTCAAGTGCTTGGGTCCTGCTTTAAAAAAAAACACTTTATTTGTATGTGTGTGATATATGCGTACATATATAAATCTTCATGTGTGTTCATGCATATGGAGGTCCCAGATTAACACTGTTTTCCTCCTTTGCTTTCCACCTTATAAACTGAGGATCTTCTAGGGCTCACTGTTTCTGTTCGTCTCTCTAGCTAGCTTGCCTGCCTGGGGGATCCTTGGGCTCTACCTCCTGTACAGGATTACAAATGGGATGCCCACCTGGCCTGGCTTTTTTTTTTTTTTAAAGAAACACTTCATTACAACAGCATTGACATATTCAATAACAATTTCCAGAGCTAAGATGCATCTCTTTCAAAATTGGCTGTAAATTTTTAGGTTTAAAACAGTTATACAATATTGTACTCAGTATAAACCCTGTAAGACATAAAACTGAATGAGGTTTTACCCTCTAAAGAAG